TTTCCACGACATTCTAATTTATTGAGATGTATATATATATATATATATATATATATATATATATATATATACACAGATTATTTTCATTGAATTACCTGTTGACTACAGAATTAGTTTCTGATGTATCTAAGAATGCAGTACAACAAGTGCACATACAAAGAAAAGACAACGTCTTCCTGTCCACGCCACCTTATAGGTTTGTGATGGTGTGATCACTGATCTGCTGTCACTGCAGTGACGATCGACGATAAATTACAGTATCATTCCTTAAAGAACCTACTGTCTCTCTGTACTGATCCAAACATAGCATGAGTCTCAGGTCATACGCTGATCGTTAGAAGCGCTTGAGCTGCTCGCGGGTGGTCTTGGATGATAGAAGCGGAAGTGCAGGTCAGAGTTATTATATATTTTTATTAGTGAATTTTATAGCTCTCTTCTGAGATCAACTTCTCATGAAGCATTCATTAATTCATACCAAACTAAAAGTGGTCAGTAAACTTCCAGAGCCGAGATCACCACAATAAAGGGATACAACTGATAGAAAGAACAGCAGAAACATGTATTTGGAAGAAATGATCTATTGTCCAGGAGAAATTCTTGAAAGGGTAAGCTTCAAAGAGCAGAAGTGCCTCAGCAATACAACATAAACGTGAGAAACAAACTATCGCTCTTTAAGACGACCCACGAAGAAAATTACCCATCAAAATAAAGCCTGACGTACAGCTGGTTTGTTTAGTTGAAAACATCAGTGAGGTGTCTGGAATGTCGTAGAGACGCACGATAATGAATTATGTGGCGTCATCATAAGCCATATTTTATTGTTTTTAACCAAAAGAACGGAGGGATAGTTTACCCAAAAATGAATATTCGGTCATCATTTACTCACCCTCATGTTGTTCCATACCTGTATGACATTCTTTCATCAAAGATATTTTAAGAAGAATCCTGGTCCATACAATAGAAAGTCAATGGGCGACGATGTTGTTTGTTTTCCAACTTTCTACAGATGTTCCATAGAAGTTCTACAACAGTTCTATAGAAGAAAGATTTGAAACGACATGAGGGTGAGTAAATGATGACAGAATTTCGTTTTTTGGGTGAACTATGCTTTCAATTTTCGAATGAACAATGAATGGCAAACTTTACGTGGCTACATCTGTTTTATGGCAAAACTATATAATTAAAGTGTAAAAGCCACAATAATAAACAATATGAACTGTCAAAATAAATTATGTTTTCTTCATCATACTGTACAGTTTCATTTAGCTTGAGCGGTGATAAAAGCTTCAACGCTAATGTAGTTTTTACGGTTTCATTAGCTGGACCCAGTGTGCGGTACCTCTACCCATCAGCCATTCTCTGTGATCACTGCCTGAGTAACAACCGAGTATTGATGCATTAAAATCTGCTCTGACAGGTGTAGTTAACCTAACCGACTGAAATAAATCTAGTCCCATCAATAATGAACTGTCCTCCAGGGTGGCACCTTCCTGTTTTGAATAAATAGGATCATCTATGTAACATCTCTTAACTGAAGGACATTCGAGTCTGAGCAGTTCGGGAGTTGCTTTGATGTCTGGAATGAGGAGAAGCAACCATGCATGTCGATGTCCTCCACACTCTCTTACGCTCTTATTCCAGGTTCTGCTGTTACATAATGTAATAGTGTGGGCTACAGCGAGTGCACACGTGCAGAACAGTCAAATCAGATGCTGCTTCCACTGTTTCTCCCTCAGACGTGGCGGCGGCACTCTTTGGGCTTATGTTTGAGGGGCGGGTCATTTGGTGGAGGGGCGGGGCAGCAGGGGCACTGGTGAGGTAGCCTCTATGAGAGCCGGGTTCAGAATGATTGGCAGGGACATCGGGGGGATGCCCACTTGCAGAGGAGAGGCAAGCGGCTGCAGGATGAGTGGAGACTGGCCCAGAGGAGGCGGCGGGGAGTCAGGAGGACTCATCTTTGCTGGAGTGGGCATCGGTGGTTTTGAGGGAGGAACTGGAAATGATCTGTCTGTTCCTGCATAGAGGAAAGGAAGCAGAAGAGTTGACAATAACTAAATTTTGATATACAACTGAAAGAAAAAAATCCTTGAAAATATATCACAAATCACAGTGAAGCTATAAATATATAGATTATTTTTGGCAGCTGTTACAGAAACATTTTTACAATAAACATTCTGATTTGACTTTGAGATTAGATAGCTTCAATATTTAACCACTATTTATGATAATACTTGGTTACAATGACACTAATAGCTCTTATTTCTGCCAGGAATCTTTAAATAGAATAGAAGCATAATTTCTTAATGACTCGCAGAAAGACGATTCTCTGCCGATCCATCAGTCAATGTAAACTTTCTGTCTCACAATACATTTATGAGTCAGTTTATTATATACAATATCTGCATTAGGTCACAGTAGAGTGAGTTTTGAGCAAAAACATTATGTATTAATCTCATACTATCACTCTGAAA